GTGGCGGTGAGTGTTTGTATGTGTGTATTCGTGATCCCCCACGAAACGTACAGATCCAGTGAATTATGAACAACGCCTTCCGTTATTCTTCAAGTCTCGTGCAAGCATTCGTTAGAAACGGAGTGGGCTTTTAATGATGATGAAGTTGGGACGACGACTTAAGAACGGCCCCCACACACCATTCACATTTCTGTGAAGAAAATATTATTTCGAACTTGATTTTGATGATTTATTTTTCGTGAATTTATTTCTGACATAAAAATTTCATTCATAACAAATATGTAATCAAAATTATTAAAAGTAAGTCGATATGCATACGCATTATTCAGTATCAAAAGGCGAGTTCGTAGAGTGTTTATTGAACATATCCACCTAGACAAAATGCGGGAGACTCTGATGTAGGATTTTTCATTAAAGAACCTTCCGGAAGTTGTCTGTAATCTTGCTCGCACCTTTTTCAACCACCCATCGTTGTGAAGATTTATAATCGCCACCTGATTTTGTGAAGCCTGATGATTTCGCCAAGCCGGAAAATAATTTGGGGATTACACCTGACTTCGGTGAACACGACATGGGTTTAACTTCTCGCACCACGTGCGACCTCTGTCACCCAGAAGTGGCTCCGACCATGATTCCGTATTCCGTTCTCGCAGGTTGTGTTTTGGAGGAGCTGAAAATTTTGGAGGTGAGCCTAACAGTATACTGCCTGCCACCATTTTTGTTTATGTCTATTCAACTTCTCTAATCAATCGACAAGAAATTGCTTGCTTAGTTTCTTTTAATTACACACGCTAGCAAAGAAGGAGAATGATAGGTGTCATTTGACGATGGCGGCAGATCTGTTTTGGAAGAGGAAATTACAAATATGCAATAAAGTATGATCAGGAAATGGACGAGGAAAATTATCGTTATATCAAATACAAAGCATAATATATATTCTGTACTGTTGGAGACTTTCTTCTATTCCATGCAGGTCTTTTGGGAATTTTAAAAACTGAAGTGCCTCAGGATCGCATTTTTATTGTTTCTCTGTTTCTTATGTATTTGTTTTGTAGTTACATGTTGTTTTCTTACTTCTGTATACTCATTATTATTCTTATTATGTTAAATCTGTGGCTCCGACGTAGAAATAAAGTACTCACTAATTCATTCAAAATATTCAAATGATTGAATTCACTTAAAATTTTCTATGTACGTGATTCCATTCCTGAGGGTTTCTTTTCCCCTCGTGAATGTAACTATCCTTAGAATGGATTCCAAAGTTTAAGAAATAGAAGACGAAGAAGAAAAGGGTTGAAGAAAGATTAAAGAAATATTGAAAGGGGAAAGAATTGTCCATTAAAATATTCACTTCGAAATAGTTTTCAATCTCGTAAGTATATCATCAATTTGAACCAATACTTGACAAACTGCACAAATTTTAGATACAAAATTGTGGGATTTTGTATCTAAATCCCACGGGAATCGAACACCGGTCTTTAGCTTACAGTAAGAACACTGCTCTGACTCCATCACGGGGAGCGTCATTTTGTATAACACTCTTTTGTGTATTTCTGTAACACTCTAATTTGTCACGTATGGAGCTTCATTGGTACCTTCAGGCAATTTGATTTGCATCGAATATATATCTATTATCTATGTCCTAAGAAGTACAAGTTATATAAGTTTCAAGTGAAACAAAATAGAACCAGGACCAACTGGCAGCCATTGGCTGAATATTTCTAGCGACGCTTCTTATGAAGACAAAAATAGAAAAAATAATAAAAGGAGAAGAAGAAAATGTATCCTTGATTCAGAAGGTAAGTTTGAGAAGTGAGGAATAAAAGGATTTACAGTGAACAAAAGGGGAACGCCAATATATCATTTGTTTATATTGTTTTGTCATTAGCATTGTTAAGAGCTGTTGTCAAATGATATATGTGTTTTAGAAACCTATTATTTGTTAAACTTTCCAGGAAATTATCTTGAAGTTGTCATAATACTTACAACCAAAAGGAAAGGAAGAGCCATTAAAAATAATGGTCTTCTGCTGCTATTTGATGATCGTAAATCATGCCTTCGTTAGAATGCTTTTAGTAGTGTCATTCATTACAAGAGGAATAAAATTACCAGAATCTTAACAAGAAAGTGGCTAGGATCTCATAGATATGCAAACTTACACAAACGCATTAGCACTTACCTCGTAATAGCCCACTTGATAAAGTCTAGAACATAAAATTACAATGTTGATATTCATTCTTCACGAAATATCAGTTCATGAAATAAAGAAGTGAATGATTGGGGAAAAAACAAAGTATTGCTTCTCAAATATCATCTTCAGATCTGTAAACTGTAAATAAGTAAAATATGTGAAATCGTGTAAAAGTGTTGCACATTACCTGCCGTACTACATTCGATGTATCACACAATCAACTTCACCTGGATGAACTTCTTTGCCATACCCTGGAATTTAAAATATTCAACATAATTTGTAACAAGTATCATCGTCATTCACCGTTAACTGGAAGTCAGAGCATTTTCTTTCAGATATACATCTTTATTTATGCTGGATGAGGTAATGATGATGAAGGAATAATAATATGGGTCAATTTATGTGTTCATCCCCAGGCTGTTTAACCTGATCTGAATCCTGGGCGCTAATAATTCAATTACATGTTATATTACCCTTGTGTCTTACAGAACATTTTAAGTAACACTATAAGGAGAAGGAACGTTTGTTGCCTAGGGCATACATCATATTAAACGTAGCGTAATACGATATAGATGTTTTCTAAGAATGAAATGACTTTCATTTTACTCAGTGTATGTTTTCAATGACAAACTTTGTCACTCAATTATGAGAATATTTATTTTGATGAAAAATTATCTTTCAAATTATGCCTCGTAGATCCTTGGTATCTTCTCCAAGAAGTAAATGCTTCTCTTCAAAACTACGTTTCTTAAGATATACGAATACTTTAATTGTTTTCTTATTATTTGCCATAATCTATGAGTTTAGATTAATTTTAATACTCTTATTATTATTTTGTCACAGCCCTGATATTTTGTCCCAGCCCTATTATTTAGAATTGGTTTTCCCGTCATTAAATTTGAGTTCTTTTTTTAAAGATATAATTATATCTTTATCATCGGTTCACTATTTGATGGAAGAAATTCTGCATAATAATAATTATTTCAATAATAATTACTATTATTATTATTATTATTATTATTATTATTACGTCAATGTAGTTATAATTACTGCTAAACATTGCTTTCCATTATGTTATGATGTACTTTTATTGTTGAAATTTGTACTACATCAGCTCCATTTCACTTTTTGTGCATGTTCAGGTCATTTGGATCTTTCTTTGTTATTTTAAAAACATTGTTAGGTTATCGGATTGTGATACTAATACTTGTCTCTTGTCACCACTTCTCTGAACACATCCAGCCTTGCCCTCTCGCTCTCGTCGCCACACCTCGCTTCTCTCGGTTTCCCTCCCGCCCCGCCCCAGCTACGCGGCGGGCGGCGGGAAAAGGATCTCATTTTGGTGGAGTCAGCTCGCAAGAGAAGTGGCGGTATAATTCACGGAGATTCCTGAAAGAACCCGCTGCTCCGAGGACGAGCAGCGCGGGTCCGTCAGTTGGCAGCAGCGGCGGCGGAGGCAGCGGGGGTTGCTGGAGCCCTCTCTCTCCTCGCCCCCCCCCTCCATTCGCCGCCGCCCCCCAGCAGCCGGAGGAATCCTGCGTGATTGCTATGATATACAGCCCGAGTGTCGGAGACGCAGAAAAACTCGGAGCCTCCTATACACTCCCATACACCTGACCTCAACCCAAATCCAGCGGACATTTATAGCCATATATTTTTTCGTGATTGGTATATACGATCCTTTTTTGTCTTTTCCCGCCTGTCTCCCTCCTCATCCCACTCCCAAACCTTTGACTTGCTCGCTTCACTCCCTCGCCCGCTCGGTATGAGTGTGTCGCCGTCTCACTTTCCACGCTGTCTCTCTCGGTCTCCCTGTGTCGGAGCAGCGCCGGTGAAAACAGCCGCCGCCGCCATCTTACCGTTACAAATCAAACACGTGGGGCCGCCGTGGCGGGCTGAGTCGCGCCTCGCCGCGTCACTCACGCTGTAATCACGTGCTGCTCCTCTCATTAAAACTAACCAAACAGCGCCGCGCCGACCCGGGTCCAGAATTGGGCTCCGGCGACGTCCCTCCTAGTAGGGACGCCGAGAATCATCCTATCCGTCATACAATATGGCCATGCGTCCGGTATCTGTGACAGTTGACGCGATGGTGTTGTTAGGTGTAGGTGAAACGCGTAGAAAATATATTGGGTGGGTGGTATCTCGACCTTTACCTTTTTTAAATGAAAAACTGTTTGGCTCGTCACTGTGTGTATTTTATGGAGAAATAATCTCTGAGATAGTCGACGATCGGAGGCTTAACAAAACCCCTGCAGGGAGACCATTGGTTTTACCTGACCTTAATTCCTTTCGTGCTGTATTGACTGAAATAAACAATTTCTTCAATTTTTAGGCAGCATAACTATTCAATTTGTCATGTTAAGTAGTTTTGACTTAGCTCTAAATTTATAAATTTCTCTATGGTCTTCTACAATACGCCTGATTCACTTGTCTAATCCTTTTCAGTGCGGGCATAGACTGTTTTCCGCCACACCCCGCCCCTCCTCCTCCCCTCCTGCGCATAGAAGCGCCTCCCTCACCCCTTCCTTCCCACCACTACACAGAAGCGCCTACACTCCGTCTATTGTTAGGAAAAGTAGGCGAAAACATATGAACTGCGAGCAACATTGGGCGCGGCGCGATCGGCTCTGCTCAAGCAAAAGGAGACTGGAAGGAGGGTCACAGCAGCGGGCAGTCTGGCCCCAATTCTCGCATTCGACGTAGACCGCCGCCGCTTCCACTTCCGTCTCCGCTTCCTCCACAATCCTCCGCCGCCGTCTCCTCCTTTACAGTCTAATCAACCCCTCCCTCCCTCCCACCACTGTCTTCACCGTCGCCTCCACCTCTTCTTCTTCGCTGGCCTCATCGCCGCCTCCACATCCACCTTCACCGCCGCCTCCGCTGCCGCCTCGTGCCCCCATGAATCATCGAATTCATTAGATCGGCGACACGGGGAGCCTTCGCTCTGGAGATCGGTATCGAATGCGGAGGAACTTGAATATTCAGTCCACAGCTCACTACGTCCTCATCCGAGTCTGTTCCAATAACTTACGAACTGCCCGTACAAATGTGTTAGCATTTTCGATTTAAAAGTTCGGCTCTCAGTAAATCAACGTTGTTTAGGATGCGTGCACATCGCCTGCCGCCGCCTCCGCTGCTCGCGTCCGTCCATCGTCCGGCAGACGACTTCCTGCTGGGATTACATTGTGGACGCGGCCCGGCGGGGCTGCGAAATGCATTCGCACGTGGTCGATTTTTCCCGCCAGTCGACAAGATGTATCGTTCTCGGTCGATGGACCGATACGGTGAGAGCTGGGTAGACGAGGTGAACAAATAAAGCTACTCGTTGGAAATACGGGGGCTTGTTCTGATGGAATATTGATCGTTAGGTGCGTTGGCGTTTGTAATAATATTCACGCGGGATTGCATTTTTATAGGCATTGTTTTTTAGTATCAGCGCTGACGTTCTGAATGCATCCAGAGTTCCAATTGATGGGTTTTGCCCTTTCATTGTGTTTCCAAATGTCAGGGGAATATCTGTGGCGCGGTAACTGAGTAGTTGCTGGGTCAGTTCATTTTTGTGAAACATAACCTAGTGGATTATGCTCGTAAGTTGTGCATTATATATTGAAGGAAGTTAGCTTGCAAATTATTTTCTTTCATATTTTTTCATTTAATAGACGAGTTCTTTTATCTTTAATTCTCTTATTGAAATAATTATTCTATAAAATTATTTTACCTTTAATTAGATAAAAGCAATGGGAATACTACGTTTATTTCTATTGATGAGTATTGAAACAAAATTTCAGGGAAATTGTTCTCTTTATACTTCTTGTAACACAAATATGAATATTTCTAGCAGTGTATAATTTTCCCTCTGAAACATCTAAATTTAGAGTAATGAACTCAAATATATCAATCACAAATAATGTTGTGGTGTGATTATTTTGCGGAACAAAATTAAGCAGGTGTTTGTATAATTTTGTTTCTGAATTATTCTTTGTTTTTCTTTTATTTCAAGTCAGATATTTTATAACGTTATCTAATGTTTTCAATTATAGAAATTTCTGATTTTCAATTGTATTCAATTCTACATCTTTAAAAGTTGATAGAAATTTGTTGAAAATGTAAATATTCTTCGGGAGCAAAATTTATTCCCTCTTCGTCAATAATGAACGTAACTTTGGCATTTTTGTACAAGACTCTGTGCATCTACATAATTTGAGAAAATATAGTACGTCCTTTAATGTTTCACAATAGTTATCCGTTACATATTCGTTTTCATAACGAGAAACGGTGACTTATTACGGTGACTATTATTTTTTCTCCGCAAAATATCAGAATTCAATAAGAATAACAAAAAATCCATTTTATAAGCAAAACTAGCATCAGATAGAGACACTGAGGTTTCCTTGAGAGTGACGTAGACGGTGTTCAAATGAGATGACCAACGAAGAGCACTAGACAAAATACGGGAGGTTCGGTCAAATCGCTACAGGTCTAAACACTTAAGATATTGTGTGTTTAAACATAAGTCATAGTCTATTATTTACAGTCAACCAATTTTTTCGAAATCAAATTATAGTATTGATAACACATAATAATGGATTCATCTTTACTGGCCATACACAAACGACAAAAGATCGATGTACCATCAGTAATCGAAGGTAATGTTCAGATATCGAAGTAATGTACACGGCGCGGCCATTCATATTACGTACGTCGCTTATTACTTTATTACTACAGCTTACGAAGTAGAGAGAAAGTTATGTAATACTGCGCGAAAAAAACGGAGAAACGGAGAATGACAGAAAACCCTCTATTACAGAGCCCTGGTGGCGAAAACGTGGATAAATCCAGTTGCTAAATTTTGAAGAAAAAAAAATCCTCTAATACATGGTGTAACTAGAATCCATGTTTTGTGGGTCTCTCATATCGAAAAACCTAATGACGGAAAAAATGTGTGTCCACCCTTGAATTTGAAACCTATAATTTAATTTTGCGGGGTACTTTATATGAAGCCCCTGGGACATTTTCACAATTTTCAAAAAAATATCTCCATCGTTTTCGACTAAATTTTGTTATTTGATAGTGTGGAGAACGTTTCAGAGAATAGTGCAGGCGTCATTTTCGTTAAATACTCTGATTTTCGAAAATTGCAAAAATTAATAATTTTTTCGGCGTCTTCCTAAAACTTCAATTATAAAGATAGTAATTTGTTTCTTAATAATATCTGTTTCTTAAAGATTAATTTGAAATAAGATCATGTACAATTTTTTCGAAAATTTGAGTACTTTCGCGTAATTGTGTGTGAAAGTAGGGGCAAGAAAGTACGTGCTGTTTTAGCACCAGTAGTGGTAGAGCACGACGACGCGAATGTGGCCTGGTTGCTACGCCCCGCAGTGAGCGGCGGCGGCGGCGGCGGCGGCGGCGGAGACAGTGAATATATTTTTAACAATCGGTTTGTTATACGTCGATACTTTTCCAATATCGATATTGCAGTTTTGATGCCGAAACTACGATAACTATCTGACGTGTCGTTGCGGATGTAACAATAAACAAATGAAAGAATGTTCATACTTCCAGAAGTTGTGATTGTAGTTTTAAATTTCTTGCAGCATAAAAATGCGCTAGCTAATTGCAGGGCACAATTAAATTCTCAGATTATTCTCGAACTAGTCATATTTTATACGTATATGCTCAGCTCGGAAATGACGCAAGAAACAGATTAAAGAATTGAGACTGTTGTTTTTCATGTTTGATCTATCGTGCGTGTTTCTATTTTGCCTTCAAACTTTAATTCACCAAAGTGTGGCAATCGGTTAGTATTCTAGTTTTTATTAGATATTTATAACCTGACATATTGGCGGCGAATATGGAAGATACAATATAGTTGCTAGCGTTGGGCACCCATATGTTACTAACGTCAAAAAGTCTCAATAATATAGCTCCACGGAGATCCACTGCGCCAGTGTTTGGATTTCTGATGCCACATCTTGAGGGTAACTTTAGAAAGGCCAACGGGAACATATAATGGGATTTCTTATTTTCTTAATACATAATACGTTATGTATTTGTCCTTGTAATTGTCTATCAAGGTTATTTTCAGTCTCCTTATGTGGCTAATTATTAAAACCAATCGTTTTTTGGCTACGTTTTTTAAAATCAATCAGACTGAAGTAATAACAATCAGTGCTAAACGAGGCAAGCTTACTTGCAAAATACATAGTCAGCAAAAAAAGGTACAAAATAATAGGTAATCTGCACGTTTAAAAAGTTGACATTTTTCGAGTGTAAATCAATATGATAAATTTTGAAATATTTGTTTACTATAATTTTTAAAAATGTTTAGTTAAAGGAACTAAATACATAACTTTTAGGAATGTTTAGTTAAAAGAAATAAATTAAAACTAGACCAAACATGTAATTGTATAATTTATTCTTTCCACTCTCATTATATAATACTGTCATTTGATGGCTGCAACTCATTGGATAATGGTACTTATTATGATTCCGATTTCATCATGATACTTTTTGATCAATGATAGAGAAGTCTTACAAACTAAGTATTAACACTTAATTAATCATTCAAAATCGTTCTAGTAAATATTTCGTTCAATTAGGTGCGTTAAATTGCGTTTAATATTATATTATGCTTGTCAGTTTCAATTTCTTTTGTTATTAGTACATTTTAGGAGTAATATTATTTCAAATAAATTGGATCGTAATTTCACTTTCATAATGTTTGACTAGCGCAGTGGTAAACAAATACCTTCCGCGGTAGGGTAGGGAGCTCTCCGCTAGGTCGCCTTGTTTGAACCCAGAATGTCAATTCCCTCGAAACAATTCAATGTAAAAGCTTAACTTAGAAAGGTTCCCATAAGTCGTATAAAAAGTAGCGTACGAAACTTGATGTAAAGGGTATTAATATACTCGTGTAAATTTAACAATACTCGCTCGTTCCTTGCTTGCATTGTAATATCACACACGTGTATTAATACCCCTCATCCTTACATTACATAATCGTTTCATAATGTACTTTTTTCTCTGTCACATGTAGAACCAAAGATTGATATAAAGGCCGCAGACACTTTTTGCCCCCCCCGTTCTGGCATGCTTGGATTTCGCGTGGTCTGCCTAGGTTAGCGACAGGTCTTCCTTGGCGCGAGTGGCAGCCGGGGCGAGCGCCGGCGGTGGCGGGCGGCCGGTTGTCCGTCAGCGGCGTCGCGACGGCGCACCTGGGCTCCGGCGCGCGATCCGTCACTCGGGCGTCCGCCGCCGCCGCGCCAGCGTCGCCCGCGCCGCAATTAGCTGTGATTGATGGCGCCTAATAACAAACGTCTCCCCGCGGCCCGGCGATACCTTCCGCGATCGGCGCGACCGTCGCGTCGCTCCGACGCGAATCGTCGGTCGCCAACGCGCCCGCCCACGCCACGTAGCGACACGCGAGGTTTAGTCCTATAAAATAAGGAGAGTAATTCCAGATTTAAAAATAGTTAATATTAATTTACACAGTCTTTTAATATTGAGGGGCACAAACACATATCAGATGTCGTGATGGTTCTTATTTTCCCATCTAATGAATTAAATTCATGGGAAGAAAAATAAAAATATCCATTCATTTTTTAAAGGATTATGATTCTATGGCACACACCGTAGATTTGGAGTATGGTATATTGATGATTTATTAAATATAAACGCTTCCAATTTCAAAATAAAAAAGAAACATTTAAGTACAACAATAATGACAACAACGTCAACAGAAACTATACACAACAATTTGTAATTAAAAAATAAAATACGGAAAGTCTTTTCAACACGTTCACATTCCGTCTGAAATTCAAGACGTCTACCTCTCTTCTGGTTGTTTATTTTTGTTCTTCTTTAGATCTTAACCGTCTCCAGAGTATTTAAACCATTGCCAACCTGTGTTTTGTTCCAGTAGGCCATGTATAAAATCTCTTCTCGATGTTGAGTACACCCTGAATCTTGACTCGATACTATGTATAACCAAAAAGAAAAGAAAAAGATTGAATTGACATATGACAATAAATGGACAGGATCGGATTAGATACACCTTGAAAGTGTTGAATATGACAACAGGATTGATATTACGAGATGATAGGGTGCGTTGATGTCGTGATCTGTTAGGGCAGGATAGGATGGGATAAGGATTCAGGATTGAATAAGACAGGACAAGACGAAAATGAGTACAAGGTTCAAGGACAGGATTGGATTGGCCCATGCATAGTTTGATAACACCAGGCGTGATTAAATAGGGCAGGGTAGAATTGGATAAAAACACGGAACGCTGAGGGAGGATGTGGTAGGATTTTGTAGAAAAGATGACATTACAAAAGTCAGGATAAGATCTGGAAAGGGAGGATAGTATGTGATAAGATGTAACAGAATCTAATATTACGGGACAGGATGGGATACATAAAGTCCCGACAGCATGCATAGAGCAGGTTACGGAAAGATACGGAACGAAGTCGCAAAATTGGGTTATTTGAAAAACGATCAAACACCTTTGGACAGGAGGCCAAGGTGGGATAGAACAGATCACGCGACAGATCACTCGCGCTTCGCACTTACCATTTCCGCGAAATGCGCTCTCTCGACCCGGCCTTTAGCGAAGCCCACTTTTCGAGCCGTTCTGCTTTATTTCTTCTCTGCTCGCATCGCCAGCGCTTTCTCCCGCCGCCGCCATTAATCGCCGGTCGCCTCCCGAGGAAGTGACGTGGCATTTGTAGCCAATCAAACGGCGCGGCCGACACCTGCGATTCCGCGGCGGAGGTAAATCCAGCGGCCGCGGCTTGTCAGATAAGCGATCGCGGCGCGCGCCCAGACTTCCGTTACGGCGATGCGCGAAGCCGCGTGCAGCAGCGCCACGACTGGGGCGTGGGGTTGTCCAAGGCGCACACACCGACATTGGTGGTGGCTCAGGGCATCAAATGATGTCATTGCTGTGCCTCTGACAGGGAGGTCCTAGGGGTTATAGTCCCTACAGCGGTTTTCTTTTCGACACTAGCTAGGTTGCTACATCGACATATAACGCTGTCTCTAGAAGAATTCTGGCGGTCGGCTACTCTAGTCACAGTTTTCCGTGGTTTCTCCAATCAATACTTGGCGAATGCCGGAGCAGTACTCTAAAAAACGGGCCACGGACCGCGCGCGATCTTCATTCGCTCTCCCTTCCCCTACCCTCGTCCCTGACGTACACGTGCATGCACTACACTTACACACATGTTGGGATACAAGTTGGGAGCTTAAAACTTGGCCCGGCGGTGATGGTGCCTCGCTGGTAGGAGATAAGTGGTTGGGGGGAAGCTCCGCAAGCAGATAGATAGGGAATATAACTGCCACCTTAAGCCATAAAAAAGTCCTACTTACCGTACTAATTACAATAGCAATTTACGCGCCAAAATAACTAATCAATCAATCCAAGACACGTAGGGGATGACAAGAAAAGAAAATCTAAGTACTACAACAGCAAGCTTACTTGGCGTGGGTGTACTTGGAGCCAATCCATGTACCTTCGCTATCTTCATGCTTTGGCAGCTTGGGCAGGAGACCCATGGTGGTCTGGATCGCCCGAGAGGTGATGGCGAAACGCATTTTACTAGTGCGCCAGGTGCGAGGCCTCTGCGGCGATTCGCTCGAAAATGTCATTGACGAAGCTGGTCATGTCTCTCATCGCCTTACGGATCTGCTTCAACACCTTGCTAATGAAGGTGGAGTGTATCCTCTCTCTTCCGCTTCTTGCTTCTTTGGAGATATTCTGGGCATCGTCGGTCTTCTAAGAGGCTTTTCCGGTGTTATGTTGTACTCTGCATCAGGGCTCATTTGAGCAAACATGTTTATACTTTTTCACCTTACTACGTACGTAGTAATGAGAAAGTATTGTAATGGCGCGGTGAAAGACGACAATTTTTCGGCAGGAAAACCCTTAAATCCCTGGGGGGAAATGGTTAAATTTTGTTTCTATATGTGGTAAATAACTTTATCTAACATTTTGTGTGGTCAGAATACACATTTGTGAGGTACTTCATAGCGAAACATTATTCATGCAAAACATCGGTCTGAATACCCGCCCATCTGTCAGTCTGTGGTGAACGTTTTCGCCTATATCGTTCACACGAATTTCTCAAAAACCTGATACTCCCCGATCGCTCATGGTAAATTGCAGGCCCTACGAGTCTGCAACTGATATTTTGGATTTTCAGGGGCACTTTACATACAGTCTCAACATTTTCAAATTTTTAAGAAATGGTACCAAATGTTTTGATAAAACTTTGTCCTCGGAAACCAAAGAGAACTATTTAAAATGGCGCAGGTCTCCTTTTCGTTGAACTCTCTGACTTTTTTTAAAATTGCAAGAGTTAGAAATATGCGAGAAAACGTGAGTATATAAATATAGATATATAAGATAATATATAATAATAGATATATTGAACGAAATTTATGTAAATTACTTAATACGTGCTACATTGCAATTTGTAATATCACATTTTGTCTTAATTATTCTTTAATTTCTTCTTAAAAATACCAATATAAATATATTTTGATTATACGTTATCGATTGCCCTTGTATCACTTTGCTACCCTTACCTCGTATAAGGGTGTCATAGCGGGTTGTAATAATCTGAAAATTGTATCAGTTTCAAATTTGAAGTATTATTAGATTAGGGTTTGCCTGGATGGCATAGAGACTTAGAACAGCATCTCCAAAACGACACGTACCGAAAAATTGCTGTTCAAATGTCTTGTAAAATATGCGTGTTTTCAACATGTTATTGTGAGTTTGGTAATTTTCTTATTCTACCACACATTCTGCTTGAGTATCATGCTATCCATATTTTCCGCACTATTCTAAAACAAAACACAACAGTGATCAGGTGTCCTTCCCACAAAAGAGGAGGACCAAAATCTTCCTCGCGTACTTTGGGAAACGAAAATGAAACTGGGAATACTTTCTCCGTAGTACAGATAGACATAAATGAGCATAATCTCGAAATACATCTACTGTAATGGACTATAAGATATTCTGTACAGAACAAACTGAAGGACTCAGGTCTGTGCTATTGTAAACTACCATGAATTAGAAATAATGTGTTTCCATTCACACCATCCTAGGTCCATTTGGTGTAACTTACAGTTAAGGTAATGGTTGTTTAAAGCTATGTTCCAGTATGTAGCCATTTGTACACTTCAAACAATGATTTAAACCTTTAAACAATAAATATTTCCATCGGTCTAACTAGTTGATTGCATAAAACTATTTTCCTCATTAATTCAATTGGAAGTCCTGGCATTCCTCCCCAACGCAATGGCAAATAACTCCTCAGCACACCCTCTCCTTCCAGGGTCAGTCGCACATCAAGATGCGCAACCTGCGGGCGCCGACAATCAGCGCCTGAGTGAGCGGAGCAATTTCTATTCCCGCGAGGGAGAGAGCGCGCCCGTCAAGATACCGCTCGGACGTCGAACGCGTCGATAAATACGTCTGCGCTGACAAAATAGAGCGCGTCCGCAGCGCAACGAGTGGTGCTAGCGCTTGGAGGCCATACGGCCGGTGTGGCAGTGCTGCCAACTGCCCTTTGTGATGTGGAAATGGAGGAGAGCGGTTGAATAGCTTTCGTTTCCAAAGTAAGGCTTCTTACCCAGCACAGACATGATAGTTTGTTTAAATCACATGTGAGAAAAATAATTGGAATAAATCTTCCTCTTCTTTCCCTTCTAATGCTCCTTTCTTTTCCCCCTCTTTTCTTTCCTTTTTTATCTCTTTCCTTACTTTACCTATTCTTCTTCTCTATTTCTTTTCCTCCTTTTCCTTTTGTGGTCTTTCCACATGGGGTTTGGACTGATATCACAAACTCTGTTGTGCGAAAATCTTTCGACATCATGATGGGGGCCATTTGGAAAGAAGGCGAGTCACCCAGCCTAAAGGATGGAATTGAGGACAGGAGAGGAAATGAAGGATTGCGCGTGATCTTTGACTTCTTTAAATTGCTGCTGCTTCGGCGTCAACATGGATTTAATGGTTGTCTTCCAGAATTCTCATCTAGCCAGTTAGCCTTCTCAGAATTTTGCTGTTGTAAATACTGCAATCGGCGGGTCTTGATTGACTGATTATTTGTGTTTTCGGGCACATCAACTGCCATGGTCATTAGGCCAGCAAGTTATGTGCATGTTTTCATCACAGGACGGGGTGGAGTTCTTCCTTCCGTGAATGGTGAAATCCGGCGCTCCATACGTCGCTTTCCCATACAGGTATCTCCCACCAGTGACTTGATTTTCAACTGCTATTGGCATTAGTCCAGTACGTTTTTAGTGCATTTTTCATTACGGTAGGTGGCAGTGGTCTTTCTTAACAGTAGTGTGATATACAGTGCCCACCTACATGTCGGTTGACGGTTTTTTTTCCAACAATGTGTCTCCTAGCACGTCACGGCCCCCGCTGCGACAAGCTCTGAACTCCCGACATCTACGGTAGTGAAATGCATGTAATTGTAAGGGTGTGTAAGGGGAGATGATAGGTCAAGGAAGAGGAAGAAAACATTGCGCGTCATCCGTGGCTCGTTTGTTAGGATTCTGTTCCGGCAGTCTCCTGTTGTTGATCGGAGAAACTTCCGATACGAGCAGCCGGCCGCTAGAATTCTTCTCCAACTGGCCACTGAATTCGACCTATGTATCTAGCTAGTGTCGAAAATCCAGCCATAATCGGCAGTTGAACCCTAGAACCTCCCAGTCAGAGGCACTTCAGTGACATCAGTTGATGTGCGGAGCCACCTCGGCCGGTGGCGGGAGTCGAAACCAGGATCTTACGGTCCAACGAAGATTCCATTAACTACAAGCGTCACTCCCGGTGGACATAATTGCAATGCCTATGTATAGATGCCTTTGGCCTTCAAAAGACTAATTTTTACCAGCATGTTAAATACATGGAGGTCAGCTTGTTTACGTCCTGTTGATTTCCATTTACGTATTCAATTGCTCCATCAGTTGCGACGAAACAAAGACAAAGATTACTTTAATTGCGGAAATGATCTACACTGCAATTTTGTGCAATTAAGAACGTCTCTGATGTCTCATATTTGTTGTAATGGATGAAACTATTGTTTGCAGACGGTAGATACTCAATTTCTAAGAATAGTGATTCTCAATATTCATTAAGTTACTCTTTTATGAAAGAAAACATGTAATTAAATAAATTAAAGAGCATAGTTTACATTTGTAGTCATTTATTAGACAACGGAGTGAAATACTCGTACGACTTTATTTATTTTTAGAGTCTAAATGCTCACAGGACAAATAATATATAGGGTGTATGTGCATGTGTGACGTCATAGGATACTCACAGCGACCACAGACACAGAGCTTTCGTATAACAATATATTATTATACAAAGAAACAAAACAAATAAAAATAAAAAAATATCACTTAAATAATCTACTTACACCCTAGCTTCTGAATAGACCTACATCTATTCCCCCTGGATCGGGCGGGGAAGCGCCAAAACCCGATTGGAAATGGTTTTGATTGTGCATTCGCCACTCCTACTTTTGAAGCGCGCACAAAGCCCTAGCTTCCGTGACCGGATGTCACGCTGGGGAACACAAAGTCGCGTTCTGGCGCACCATCGGCTTGTTTGCCTCGATCGCAAGGAGCGATCTTAATCCGTTGATGAATCGGCGTGGGAATCGTGGCTTACTCCAACACTTCTTCAAGCCTCGAGCACGCCAACACAGCATCGCTCCCTCCGTGACGCAGTCACATCCAAGGCATAAAGTCCGCAGGCTTCGTCAACTAGTGACTCGAGCCGTCGCGAGCCGGGCTCAAATATGCGCCGTCTCAGCGCCAAGTTTTGTGCACAAGCACGAGGTTTCTCCCACTGCTCCAGACCCACCACTGGCTCCGGTACACGTCTGTTATAATAGGCGGAGGCCACGGTGACCTACTACGTCAACGCCACCCCCTGCGCTTCGTTATAAGCAGTGGAAAAGCTGTTCTATAAGCCGGAACAACCCAAAGCCTTGTGTCTCCCGTCTCCGCGTTCTTCCCTTTACGGAAAAACCTTCTTCCCTGTGCGAGACTATCCGCAACCAAGCGTCCCCAAATAGATGCCATGAGGCAACGCTGCTAATACGTTACCATGACAATGGAATGACTCACATATTGTAGGCAAACAATAACAATAACAGGTTTGTCTTAACAAACAATTGTTGTCCATGATGGTGAAATAGGGACAATGCAAAACACTGAAAATGGGCATTTTGCCATTTGATCCTCCGGGTCCGGTCCGAGTTCTTTTGTATTCGGTCATAGAATGCTCTGACAGCAATAAGTAAACCATTCCTGCGTGGCAACTTTGATGATATTATTAGCGATGAGCTACTCTTGTGTACAGGACAAATAGCATGAATGGTGAAAATTAATTCGAAATGAAATGACCCACAATGTGATGAGTCATTCTATTTTCGCTCTAAACTCGTTCAATATCAGTAGACTTAGAGAACTAACATAACTTCAAATACCCGACATTTTTGGCACGTTATCCTTGCCGATATATTATTGTAAATTGGCACATATGTGTAAATCTTTCTTTTACATTGTCATTGACTCATTTTCTGAATTAATTAATTTACTTACTTCGTACTTTTACTTATTCA